ATCTAACATATACGGTTGTTATGTAGCTACCAGAGCGACACGTTTCAAATAAACAAGCTCCGCCACGTCAAATTAGATTAAAGATCGGAACCGTATCAAATAAGCCACGAAGCGAGGAAACGAATTCACGCTCTGGGATTAATCTATTGGATATTATACGAAGACATGAAATTGCACGAATTCGAGTTCTTACACGCCCCGAGGAACAGGAGCCCGGCAAAACCACACTACTCGCCGCATTGAATGCCCAGCTAAACTTCATGCGTTATTGTCTGAAGATTGGAATGGTGGTTACCCTGTATCTGTTCGGAGGTACGAATCGACCCACAACCACGAGATCGACGAGAACATCTTAAACACGTACACGGAGACATGGAAGATCACTTCTCCAGAGACTAGTAATGTCATACGGACAATGTGGCAAGGTACGCTCGTACCTACAACAATTTTTAGCATTTACAGACATGTCTTAACGGGTTATACATCTCTAGGTGGAGCTAAACGAACGAAGACCCTCCGCTATCTGAAGGAGATTTCGAGAAAGCCGCTGATGCTCAAGGATGTGAGCAACATGATCGCAAAAATGCGCCGAAACTCGTATACGTCGCCTGATGATAATGTGTGCGTGATGGAAGTGTTGCAAGATTTCAGTGAGAGTCTTAGGAACTTGGCCAACATATTCCGTGATGCCGATACCAAGTTGACAAGTTGCATCACATTTCAGACGAACCACATGAGACCTATGACGCGGCTGTTTCCTGAGGTGATGTGTGTCGATGCAACCCACGGCACTAGCATCAACAGGTGAGGGTTGGTGGCGTTTGTTTTTAGTTGGTACTAGTTGGTTCTGGTTGGTCCTAATTGGTGCTTGCTTACCTTTAGTCTTGAGAACAGCATGAGATTGACATGTTTGGCCTGTGTGAATATATATCGCCTTTTCAGCTGTATGCAGACGGGTAGTTGTGCATTTGCTCAACATGCACTCGTTGATGGGGAGACACAAGAAAACGTGAAGAAGCGCCATCTCCGCATTCAAACGTAACAACGGAAACTAAAGTGACATCAAGGTCATCGCCATTGCCA